ACGACCCCATAATTCCTTGCAGGGTGGAGTCTGGGCAACTGAATGGAGCTGAGTGTTTACTGGCCCGATGCCCTTCCTGTTGCCAAGGCAGAGTTTTGTTCAGCAGATACATTCTCATTGCTACAAAGAGATAAAAAAATCTGCCTCTACCGAGGATCGAACTCTCAGCCTCCTGATTGTGAGGCGAGAGGTCCACCTCTAGGCCACTGGACTTAGGACCACAATGGAGCCCAACATTTCTGCTGTCAAGCGAGACAGTTGTTAAGGGAGTTATACCCCCATCTTATGACCTTTCTTGCCACGGTTGTTAAGTGAATCACTGCAGTTCATTTAGCAACGTGCATGTGAAGTAAATGCGGCTTCCGCATTGAGTTTGCTCGTCGGAAGGTCGCGAAAAAGGATCATGTGACCTTGGGAGTCGTCATAAATATGACTCTGAGGCCCTAGGGAGTGGGCGGCATACAAATACCAATAAACTTCCAAACTTCCAAACTCAAGTTGCCAAGCGTCGGAATTTTGATCACAGGGGTCAAAGTCACCTAACAGGGGTCCTAAGTCACCTAACTCCCAACCAGGGGTGAAATACAGCAGGTTCTGACAGGTTCTGGAGAACTGGTAGCGGAAATTTTGAGTAGTTGGGAGAACCAGCAAATGCTACCTCTGGCTGACCCCAGGAGTGGGGAGGGAATGGAGGTTTTGCATTATCCTTTCCCCAGGACTGAGGAGGGAATGGGGATTTTGCAGTATCCTTTCCCCCAGGAGTTAGGAGGAAATGGAAATTTTGCATTATCCTTTCCCCAGGACTGAGGAGGGAATGGAGGTTTTGCATTATCATTTCCCCAGGACTGAGGAGGGAATGGAGGTTTTGCAATATCCTTTCCCCAGGAGTGAGGAGGGAATAGGGATTTTGCAGTATCCTTTCCCCCAGGAGTGAGAAGGAAATTGAGATGTTGCATTATCCTTTCCCCAGGACTGAGGAGGGAATGGAGATTTTGCATTATCCTTCCCCCAGGAGTGAGGAGGGAATAGGGATTTTGCAGTATCCTTTCCCCCAGGAGTGAGAAGGAAATTGGGATTTTGCATTATCCTTTCCCCAGGACTGAGGAAGGAATGGAGATTTTGCAACAACCTTCCCCCAGGACTGAAGAGGGAATGGAGATTTTGCAGTATCCTTCCCCTGCCACGCCCAGAGAACCGGTAATAAAAAAATTTGAATTTTGCCACTCCTCCCAATGGTCACTAAATGAACGGTTGTAAGTTGAGGACCACCTGTAAAAGTTGCCCAAGGTCATATTGAAAGGCTAGTCTGTCCTTTGCCTTTTAAGGCTTCTAAAAAGACACCAGACTGGCTGATTCAAAGATTATTTGCGAAGATGCTGGATTCTGTGTAGACGGGGTCTTACCTTTCCGTGCATGACACTGGCGTTCATTTTCTCAATCACATTCTTCTGAGACAAATATTTCTTGCTGAGAAAGGAAAAGAAAGAGGGACTTGATGTTCTGACCCAGGCTTCCTTTACAAGCATGAAGCAGAGTCTTGGTCCTGGCAAAACCTTTTATTTACATGACTGTGAATTCCTTTCATTCCCAGTCAGCAAGGCTTGGCAAACAGTCTTTCAAAGGAATGTTTATCCACACGAACCTTATCTCGCTCGGAGAGCTGCCAGATAATTAGTTCCCAAATGCAGGGCAAGGCAAAACTTGGCACAGTCTCTTTATAGTCACAAACAGAACTTTCCACTCTTGAACCGACCGAATGAACAAATTGTTTCAAAAGCCCCTTCCCCATTCACTCCTCTTTTGTTTCCTCTGGGAGGGGCCAATCACCTCCAAGTTGTGGCTTTACTCCTAAGTCGACCCTACTTTCTTAGTTGTTCTCGTCTTCTGACAGCCCCGCACATGGGCACATTGGGAACAGGCTCCAGCTGTTCCTCTGCCTCATTGCTGTCTAGCTCCCTCTCTGCCTCCAATGCAGAGCCCTTGTCTGCCTCAGCCCCCAGGACTGGCCCATATTCCTCCCCAACCTCCTCACTCTCTGACTCTGCTGCCACTTCCGCTGGCTGCTGGCGCGCCACAACATTTAAAGGGGAAAGAAGGCTCCACTTCACAATTGGAGCCCCACGACCTGAACTGGGACATTCCCAAGCAGCTGCCCCTTCCGAGGAGCAGCAGCAGCGCAAGACCCCTCCTCTCCCCCAGGCAGTTTCCAGCAAACGAATAGGAGAAAGTCCTCCTTGGCCACCTGCCTCCCCTCACTCAAGCAACATCAGTAATGCAGCCACATTCCAGTCAGCTGCTCTCCTGCGCCTCTTACCATCTCCCCAGCCAGTCCAGGGCTGCACTATGCAGCTGGAGGTGACCAGCTCCTTGTCCGGCGCCAGCCAAGGTCGCCATGACCACCATAAGCTCCGGAAAGCCGGTCCCATCTCCATTTGCCAGCATCTCGGTAGCCATGGGAATCAGGGTACTCAGGAGGACGGTGCAGGCTCCCTCGCCGACTTGGCTGGAGTGGGGAGAAGGAAGTAAGACACCCCACGAAGCGGCCAAGGGGCACGTTTGAACGGTGGCATCCCAACTAAGCAAGGGTGGGCTCTGCAGTCCCAGCCCTCTTGGGAGCTCCAGGGGTGAGCCTGGGCCCGTCCGTACCTGTTCTCCCGCACAATGTAAGTGGTCAGGAGTTGGAGCAGCTGCCGGTTCTCCTGCACCATCTCCAGCTGGTCAGTCTCCTTGGGGGGAGAGGTGGTCATACGGGTCAACCAGGCCTGGAGGCGCGCAGGCTCAACACACGCCAGCTGGGCCAAGGAGCCACACAAGCGCAGAAGGCTGGGGTTTGGGCTCTTCTCGGCTAAACGGGGCAGAGAGAGAGAGAGAGAGGGAGAGAGAGGAGAGTCAGCCATCGTACCTGCCTGTGTTTCGGCTGGACTACCCAGGGCGAAGAGGAAACATGCCAGCAGTTTGGAGAATGGTGTCAAGCCCCGCCCACTCAGTTGGCCACACTTATCATGTCAGCCCTGTCCCCAGGTCAATCAGAACCCCGATGCCACCCTCAATGAAATTGAGTTTCACACACACAAACACACACACACACGCCTTATGCGTATCAAGCACTCACTTAGCTGGAAGAGCTTGGTGAAGAATTTCAGAACCCGGTTGCAGAACTTGGCCGAGAGGTTCTCGTTGGCAGTCGCCATCATGATCTGGACTAGCTCTCCGCTGGAGGGAAGGAAACGCCCGGAAGCAAAGAAAACATGAGGAGGGGTTCTGGGCTTGCGACAGCCATCCCCACCCACCCCCGGCTACCCA